CCCCCCCCCCCCCCCGGGGGAGGGGGGGGGGGGGGGGAATACAAAAAAAATAGAAGGCCCAGAGACTGTCACATAATAAAAATAGCCTCCGATGCACGAATCATCGAGCTGTGATTGCCATTTCATAGGAGAAGCTCTGATAAGGGAGACAGCATGGCTGGGCTGCTATCAGGCTGCTATCAGGCTGCTGTCAGGGAGCAGTAGCTCTGTATGTAATGTAGTCTTCCTGCAATAACAATAAACACTGACATGCTTGCTATCACCCCACAATAACTTGTATCCCAACACCCACATCCGACACAGCATCATGCACCACAAAGAGACTCATATATGTGTAGCAGGAATGCCAATTGAAAGAGCCTATACATCTGTAGCAGGAATGCCAATAGCCAGAACGCAAGCATCTATAGTACAGGCAAGGTACACAAGGCTCATACATCTATACCAGGCAAGGTACAGAAGGCTCATACATCTATAGCAGGCATGGTACAGAAAGCGCATACATCTATACCAGGCTAGTTACAGAGTGCTCATATATAGCAGGCAAGGTAATGGCCAGAACCCAAGCATCTGTGCCAGGCAAGGTACAGAAGGCTCACACATCTATACCAGGCAAGGTACAGAAGGCTCATATATCTATACCAGGCATGGCACAGAAAGCTCATCTATACCAGGCTAGTTACAGATAGCTCATACATCTATAGCAGGCTAATTACAGAGAGCTCATACATCTACACCAGGCTAGTTACAGATAACTCATACATCTGTAGCAGGCAAGGCAATGGCTAGAACCCAATCATCTATGCCAGGCAAGGTACAGAAAGCTCATATATCTATACCAGGCTAGACAGTGGCCAAAGCCCATACATCTGTGACAGACAAGCCACAGAGAGCTCATATGTCTATACCAGGCAAGGCACAGAGAGCTCATATGATACCAGGCAAGGCACAGAGAGCTCATATGATACCAGCCAAGGCACAGAGAGCTCATATGATACCAGACAAGGCACAGAGAGCTCAAATGTTACCAGGCAAGGCACAGAGAGCTCATACATTTATACCAGGCAAGGCACAGAGAGCTCATATGATACCAGGCAAGGCACAAAGAGCTCATATGATACCAGGCAAGGCACAGAGAGCTCATATAATACCAGGCAAGGCACACAGAGCTCATATAATACCAGGCAAGGCACAGAGAGCTCATACATTTATACCAGGCAAGGCACAGAGAGCTCATAAGATACCAGGCAAGGCACAGATAGCTCATATGATACCAGGCAAGGCACAGAGAGCTCATACATATATACCAGACAAGGCACAGAGAGCTCATACATTTATATACCAGACATGGCATAGAGAGCCCAGTCAATGTCAAGCTAACTCGTATCATACCTTTCCTCTTGCTGTCCACATCTATTCATCCTTGCTGTTGGTATGATGGGAAAAAAAAATCATGGCTGTGTATGTCCAGTGATCATTCATTGCCAGTCCCAGTCGGGCTGCAACTTTAATTGAATTACAATTGCTTAGCAGAAAAGCGAGACTGGGGGAACAGAAGGCTTCCGCTTAAAATAAAGTTAACTCTCCAGTTGCCAGGATGGTAAAGGAGAAGAGGATGCTGATTTGGAGCACGGACGCTGTCCTCCCCACCCCCAGCGAGCTGGAGCCCTAGTTTTCTGCACCAAGCAGCCCATCCAGCACAATTACATCAGGTCGTCTAGATCATACCAATGAAAAATGGAGCGCAGACACAAAAAAAAAAGGAGGCAGCCACATCGCTCCCATGGTTTAACCTGCACCGATCTTCCATGGAAATACTCACTCAGACTTAAATATCCAGGGCCCAACCATCGCGGCAAGCCAGAAAAATGCATCTAGTGTGTATAGGGTGGCAGGAGAAGAGGCGGGCTGCCAAATGCGGACTGACAGGCAGCAGCAGCAGCAGCAATGCTCACAGACAGACGGACACCCAGCCCGCACTGCCCAGCCTCCAGCAGCACGCAGCCTTCGGCTTTAGGCGTCCCATTGTGAGCTCAAAACCGATGGGATTGCGGGGAGGTAGAGACACGATAGGATATAGGGAGATAGAGAGAGAGGAGAGCGGGAGAAAGGAAAGGGGGATGGGGGTCCGAAGGAGGAGCCTGACACTAGGTAGGGTGGATGGGGGACAACACTGAGCAGACTCAGCCTTTCTACTTATCAACTTGACAGCCTGCTACATTCTCTCATGCATCTAACACACACACACGTATCAATCTACCCACAGCTAGACACAGACATACATAGATATCAATCCACCCACAACTATACACAAACATGCATACATATCAATCTACCCACAACTACATACATACATATCATTCTACCCACAACTAAATACATTCATATCATTCTACCCACAACTACACACATACATCCACAGCTAGACACAGGCATTCATACATATCAATCTATCCACAATTACACACATACATATCATTCTACCCACAATTACACACATACATACATATCATTCTACCCACAACTACACACATACATACATATCAATATACCCACAACTACATACATACATATCATTCTACCCACAACTATACAAATGAATATCCATTTAACTCATAACTACACACACATGTATATCCATATAACCATATAACCCATTATTTTACACATTCATATCCATCTAGCCCACAATTACACATATAGATATTCATCTACCCAACAACTATACACATACATATCAATCTAGCCCACAACTACACATACATACTCAGCCCACATCTACACACATACATATTCATCTAGCCGACAACTGCACAGATGCATATCCTGCATATCCATCTACCCTACAATTACATACATCTACTCCACGCTATACACTTAATATCCATCTACCCCATAATTACACACATATCCATCTAGACTACAACTACACACATGCATATCCATCTACCCAACAACTACACACATATATATCCATCTACCCTACAATTACATACATCCATATCAATCTACACCAAAGCTACACACGTAATGTCCATCTAGCCCACAACTACACACATACATATCCCTCTACCCAATAACTACACACATACATATCCATCTACCCTACAATTACATACATCCATATCCATCTACACGAAAGCTACACACGTAATGTCCATCTAGCCCACAACTACACATACACATATCCCTCTAACCAATAACTACACACATACATATCCATCTACCCTACAATTACATACATCCATATCCATCTACACCAAAGCTACACACTTAATGTTCCGCTAGCCCACAACTACACACATACATATCCATCTAGCCCACAACTACACACATAAATATCCATCTACCCAACAACTAGACACATACATATCCATCTTCCCAACAACTACAGACATACATATCCATCTTCCCAACAACTACACACATACATGTCCATCTAACCAAGACAGGCATGCATATCCATCTACCCAACAACTACACTTATCCATATCCATCTACACCAAAGCTAAACACTTAATGTCCATCCAGTCCATAACTACACACATACATATCCACCTACCCAACAACTAAACTCATGCATATCCATCTACCCAACAACTAAACTCATGCATATCCATCTACCCTACAATTAAATACATCCATATCCATCTACACCAAAGCTACACACTTAATGTCCATCGACCCAACAACTACACACATACATATTCATCTTCCCAACAACTAAACACATACTGTACATATTCATCTAGCCCACAACTACACACATACATCTACCTAGCCCACGACTATGTATATACATATCAATGTACTCATAACTACACACATACAGTATATCTATCAGCCCAGCTCACAACTGCACACATACATATCAGTCTAGCCCATAACTACATATGTACATGTACCAATGTGCCCTCAACTGCATACCTAAATCTAGCCCACCTCTACACACATACACGCCAATCTTGCCTACAACAACACACATACATATCAATAAAGCCCACATCTACACACATACATACAGATCTTAGTTCCCTGCCCCGGATACTGATCAGCATGTATGCAGTCATTGCCCATGATCTCTCTATACAGAGCCATTTAACTAACCCCGGCGAGGGCTCGTTCAGCAGCCGTCAGACTAGGATTGATATACTGTTTCACTGGCTTTGAAAGTTGCAATAGATGATTGATGGCAAAAAGCTTTGCATTGAAGTGCTACAATGTCCGCGGCTGTAGACATGTAGCATCTTGTAGCGGATCCAGTGTGTGTGTGTGTTTTATGTGGGCACCACAAGTTCTCATCAGCATCGCCCATTGCCTGCTATCTGATGAAGACCGGAGACAAGATACTATATGAAGCCCAGTCATCCCTGTATGTATGTGTATATATATATATATATAATCATAGCAGCCAAATTTGAGGGTGAGAGAGGAGAGTGAGAACCGACAGATGGCGATACAAGGCGACACATCGCATTGTTTCTTTTTTTCTTTTTTCTTTTTTCTTCCCAAGGAATGCAGAAATGAAAGATGAAGCCATTGCTAACAAAAAATAAGGGGATATCTCTTTCCACCTGGATCGAGGCATGGAACCATCCCATCTGTAATCTAGTCATATTTAGGAGGTGCCATCGACCATCCTCCATCTTGCCTAGAAAAAACAAGGAGTTCTTGTAATCTTAGGTTTTCCGAACGTTGCCATTTATACGTTGCTTTATTACATTGAAATCTAATTTTCCATATAGATCATGCGGCATCGATTTGCTTTTTATTTTGCACGCATATAGATGACATGCCCGATGCCTGCGTTTTATGACCCACCGGCATAAAAGGATAATCTGTTTTGTGGCAAAGCAACCCGGTTTTACTGTCTTGTAAAGGGCTAGTGCCAGATGTAAGTTTAAATGTTGGACTGTCACAATATTAACTGAGGGAGACAGATCCAACTGCTGCAAGCAGGCAAGGACATGCTGTCTTCTGACAGTAGCAAATGGATTTGGCTCCAAACAATGCATGGAGAACGTTTATGCATTAGATTAATTAATTTTATGTGAGTGTGACTTAGTTACAATGACATAAATTTCATATGGAGATTAATTTATTATTTCAAGTCCCAGTGATTTGTTTCCCTTAGTTCTATTTGCTAATTTGGTATTTATCATCGCTACTAGATCTCAAGTCATATATTTATGTCACAGTGTTTATTCTAAATAGGGTTTACCTTGTGTAATTGTGGAATGGAAAAGACAGTTGAGGCTTTCCCCTCCTTGACTCACTGCTTTTCTCTTTCTTTAAAGGAAGTATGTATCTAAGAGGACAGTTAGGATGGGAGTTGCCCAAAATGTCTAAAGATGGCCATACACATATTGATTTTCTGCAGATTTTCTATGATTAGATGGAAAAAGTGCAACAAATTCCTCCATCTACACTAAATTGTGTGGATGGAGGAATCTCCCACTGGGCCAAGCTTCAGTATCTTGCTAGTTGGCCCTGCTGTCAAAATACCTGAACAATGCCTGCATCCAATCAGATTGTTCAGGTATTTTGACAGCTAGCGGGGCTGACTATGAAGTTATTGTAGCTTGGCCCAGTGGGAGATTCCTCAAGCCACACAGTTTAGCGTAGATGGAGGAATCTGCTGCACTTTTTCCACCTGACAATAGAAAAGCTGCAGATAATCTATAGGCGTTGAAGTGACATTAAAGTCCCCCCCTTCTATGCTGCTTTAGGACTTACCTTAAATGATGCCTCTTGATCTGATCATCTTCTTCTTTCCAGTAGTTTTCAGGAGTCCCTCTAGCACTGGTGCCGGTCTCTGATCCAGTGCTTACTGCTGTGTCTTCTTTGTCCCACGGAGTTGTGTACATGCACGCTGCCGGTCTATCTGCATTAACTTACCATGTGTCTCTCCTCTTCTCCCGGCAGAAGATCTCTACTGCGCATGCGCCCACCCCATGATCCTTCATGGCCGCTCGAGAATCTTTAGATCTTCAGATCAGAGCGAACGGCAGAGACAGAGGTAAGTAATAACCTGTTTGGTAACTTTTATGTTTTTGCATATATCTACTGCTTGCTAGCAGTAGATATATGCCAAAAAAAGAAGGTTTAATTCTACTTTAAGACCTCTTGAGTCATTGGGCAAATATATGAAAGCATACATCTGAGGTCAAATGAAATGAATATCTGATCACCTGCAGGGACAAAAAAAAAATCTCCTTTGCTTTGTTAATGGTTCATTGTGCTTCAGCTCAGTTCACACTTTAGGTTGCATTCACACCTAAGCGATACCTTTTACGTGCGTCGTACTCAGTTTTTTGTGAGTGTTTGCTGCATGGTTTTACGAGCAGATTGTAGCATATTTTGTTTTATTATTTATTTAACAATATAAAAACAGAGAGAGAGAGAAAAAATACAACAGTAAGGCAAGGCAATACCCCAATGTACCATAATTAACAAAAACAAGTAAAATGTACCCAATTAACCATTAGGAAACATTTACAAGGAAAATTGGCAATCAAAGGATGCAAGGGTATGCAAATCTATGTTCTAGGACAGGCCTTCTTATACTTTTTCCACTCGTGACCCCTTTTCGGCCGACAGCGTCGGACAGTGTCTCTCTCCTCCTCCTCCCCCCAGTATCGGGCGGCGTTTCTCTCTTCCTTCTGATATGAAGAGAAAGGTTTGTTGCACTCCTTACCGGACAACCCCGAATATGGGGAAGGGTGCTTGGAGAGACCTGCTATGCCTGATGAAGGGACCCTGTGTTGTCCCGAAAGCGCTTGTGTATTTGACATAAGTTTTGAATAAATTCACAGTTGACTATCCTTGAAGGAGTCTGGTGTGCTGGTGACATCTCTATATTGTCTCTCTTCAGCGTCAGCAGGCGTCTCTCTCCTCCTCCCCCCTCCCCCCAGCGTTGGTCGCGGCCTCTCTTAAGTAGCTCATGTAATATTTTGTGGCGTATTTCTGCTTGGGAAAAAACGCCCAGGTGTGAACAAGGGCCATAGAACTGAATAGTATTCCAGGGGTCGAGCGTTTTTTATTCCAGGGGTCGAGCGCATCACGCTGATTGACGTGTGACAATACACTTAGGTGTGA